TGGTGATATAATACACATATACATAGTATAATGTTCAACCTACAATAAATGAGTCTTAGATATATACCCAAAGGACACTGGGGTTGGTAGACTGGTGTCCTAGAAGGCACAAAACCTGGGTTTGATTCCTAGAACCCCACAAAACCAGGCACCATAGCGCATGCCCTATAATCCTAGCACTCAGGAGGTGGAGGTGAGAAAATCAGTTCAAAGTCATCCTTAGCTGGAAGATCAAGGGCAGCCTGTCTAAAAAATAAGTAGAAAGAAAGAAAGAAGGAAAGAAAGAAAGAAAGAAAGAAAGAAAGAAAGAAAGAAAGAAAGAAAGAAAGAAGAGAGGGAGGGATAGAGGGAGGGAGGAAGGAAGGAAGGAAAGAAGGAAGGAAGGAAGGAAGGAAGGAAGGAAGGAAGGAAGGAAGGAAGGAAGGAAGGAAGGAAAGAAACTCCAACCAAGGCTCAGGGAACATTGGAAAGAGAGCAGCAGAAAGAAAGCATAGGCCATCTGACAGGGGAGATGCTGTGAAATGCTGTCTTATGACCATCATCTGAACTCACAGCAACTATGTTTACCTGCAAGATCTCAAGCCCACAATGTCAATCGACATTCCAGCAAGCAGCACTAATTGAACTCAGTGAGTCACAAAAAATAAGAAAGGAGAAGACAAAAACAAACAAACAAAGTGCCTAGCCTTGCATAGATGTGGGGAGGGGATACCCAGGAGGGCCACCACCTGCTCAGAGAAGGGGATGCTAGAGGGGAAGGACTGTGAGGGGGGGACAGGGAGAAGGGGCAGTGAGCAGGAGTGAATAAAAACAAACAACAAACAAGCCAAAAGAAGACAAACAAGAAGATATGAAGGTGGGAGAGCTATGGGGGGTGGCACAGGAGGGGCAAAATGGGTATGGCTAATTTCAAGAGATATTCCATACAAATATTACATTGTCAAAGAATAAACAAAAGGGTTTTTAAGAGTAATTTTTTTTGAAACAGGGTCTTACTTTTGTACCTCAGGTTGGTCTAAAACAGGCTCTGTAGACCAGGCTGGCCTCCAAATTATATAGATTCACCTGTCTCTGCCTCCTAAGCACTGAATTAAAGACAATATCACAACACCCAGCTAAATCTAAATTAATTTATATGCTAACTTTAAAAGAATTAATTAGGGGTGGAGAAATGGATCAATCATTAAGAGCAAATACTGCTCTTCCTGAGGACCTGAGTTCAATTCCCAGCACCCACATCAGGTGGCTGACAACTGCCTGTAACCCCAGCTCCGGGGGATCTCACATCTCTGACCGCGATGGACACTTGCATTCATCAACAGGTACCTTCCCCCCACCGACACATACATATAACTAAAATAATACAAATCTTTTCAAAAGAGAATGGACTAAAAATATCTATTGAAATGATTTAAACTTCATTGTCAATTTAACTGGGCTTGGAATCACCCAGGAGATATACTTTTGGGCGTGTCTTTGAGGGAGTTTCCACAGAGATTTAACTGAGGGTGAAAAATCCACCCTGAATGTAGACAGCACCATCACCTGGGCTGGGGTCTCAGGCTGAATAAAAAGGGAAACTAGAAAAAGCGAACTGAGCACTCTGTCTGGTTGGCACCACAAACCAAGCTGGTCCTCTCTCCCCATGCGGTTCCCCCCTTGACGAGCTGCATCTCTGCAAACCGTGAGAAAAAGGAAAGGGAACTCCTTATTGTCTTTTTTTTTTTTGTCTAATATTTGGTCATAGCAATGAGAAAAATGATGAAAACATTCGAAATCCTTTCTTCTAGCTTTTTGAAATATATAGTACATTATCATTACCTACAGTCATCCTGCGGGGTAATAGCATAGCATTTCTATGTATTAGGAGCCTTTGAAGTCCTCTCTACAGTTCTTTGAGGTATTGAAAAATACAAACTGAAGTGCTATAGAACAAACAGTAGGACTTAGTCTTCCTATCTAACTGTATTTGGGGTATCATTATCTAACTCCATCTGCCCCTGCCCCACCACACACCTGCAGCCACACTTCCCACAGGTCTTGCCTTAATGGAATCTGCTCTTCCTTAGGTTTTCACTTTACTCCTTCAAAAATCCTAGGCTGTGGGCAAACTGAATATTAAGCTTTCCCATATCTTGTTGCTTTTATGCACCAATTTCCCTCCCAATTTCCAAACTGACACATTGTACCCTTTTTGATTGTTTTAAGAAGTATCTCATATTGCCCAGGCTGACCTCAAACTAACTAGCCAAAAATGACCCAGGACTCCTGCCCCTCTTGCCCCCACCCCCTAAAGGCTAAGATGACACACCTATACCGCGCCACATTTGGCTCATTTTACAGGTCATTTTTAAACCTCAGAAAAAGCCTTAACTTCAACAAAGACTTCCTCAAACCACCTAAGACCTAACGTAAAATTTCATGGTAATTCATGCACACCTGTCTGGAGATACTTCTGACTTCCTACTCTCTGTCTTTTTGTTTATTTAGGTCAATTTTCTGTCTTCTCAGGGAAATCAACATTAGAGCATACCTAAAGCAATTTTCCATGCCATCTTCAAGCCCAGTAACAGAGATTATTCACTGTGTTAACTACATGAATGTTTCCAGTATATAGTATGTGATTATTTTAGGTATTGCACAGCCAAACAGTTTTAAACAGTTGAATAACTATTTTATTGTATATTAGGAAAGTACCCCCTTTTCCATTTTAGATATTGGTCAAAATATTTTCTTTTGAAAAGAAGCATATTTTCCAGGCAGTGGTGAACAACTTTAATTCCAGCACTCAGGAGGCAGAGGCAGGCAGATCTCTGAGTTTGAGGCCAGCCTAGTCTAAAGAGTGAATTTGAGGATATCCAGGACTACACAGAGAAACCCTGTCTCAAAAAAAACAAACCAAACAAACAAATAAAATAAGCATATTTAGCAAAGGGGTATGGTTCTGTTAATAGTCCATTTGCCTAACATACATGAAGCCCATGAGCTTCATGGTATTTTATGTAAAGAGGTATTTTATGTGTATGAGTGTTTTGCCTGTTTGTATTTCTGTACACCGTGTACATGCCTGGTGTCTGCAAAGGCCAGAAGAGGGTGTAGGAACACCCAGAACTGGAGATATATCTGTGAGGCACTATGTGGGTGCTGGGAATTGAACTTAGGTCCCCTGGAAGAGCAATTGAGAGGCCAAATCTTTTAAATTCGGACTCCATTTTAAAGAACCTGATCTAACTTTGAACTCAGGTAAACTAACAGGCTGGGTCCCTAGCACAAGTTTCCAAGTTGCCCCCCAACAAAACCTGAGCCTAGCTCCAGTCTCTAGGGTAACCCCCACAAGACCAGCATCTCCAGGTTATTCCCCCAACAAATGTATACCCCTAGGTTACAAGTCCACCCCCTGCCTAATGACCACCAATGCTGAAAAAAAAATTTAGTTTATGATATGACTCCCAACACCAGCCATTATGGTAAAGGCCACAATAGCTTTCCAATCAGATGCTTACAGTTACCAGCCCCCCCTCCCCACTTACTGCTTACTATAAAGCCTTGCCTGGATAAACATTCAGGGTTCCCCCACCACCAAAACCATCCTGCATGACAGCAGTGTGCTGGGGGGGGGGGGGTTCAAGCTAGCTCAAATAAAATAAAGACCTTACTATGAGTTACATCAGATTGGCTCCTGTCTGTTTTGGGGGGACCACTAACATTTCCCTGGCACTACACAATCTGTGCTCCCAACCACTGAACCATCAATCCAGCCTCATCTTCACTTCAAATGGTTTTATTTGGAACAGATTGTATCGATCTCCCCTTTAGCTTTCTTACTGCTTCATACTCTCAAGTTGATAGCCACTTTTTCTTTTACTAAGTAAGGTTTAAGGATCTTGTACTTGTCATTTCTTATTTGTTGGAAATGACATAACTAGTACTCATCTTTCTACCAGGATATTTCTTTCTCCTGACTTATACCAGCTCCTTATGTATAAAGGAAAGTATATAACTTCTACTGCATTTTTCCATTTTATCCTGGGACAATCTTTAGTTTCACAAAGCTTCTATCACATATGACTTGTGTTGATGACTTTTAAATCTGTAACCTTGGTCTAGAACCTCTAGTTCTAGTTGTTGACTATCTTTACCTATGTGATACCAAACTCACACGCAGGTTTCTAAACACATCAGACCTGTGACTGAATTTCCTTCTGACCCCAGTCATTTGAATTTATGTTACTAGGACACACTGGCCTAAATCCTTCTGTAAAATACAATTATATCGACTTCATAGGCTAATAACAAAATGAGATTCATAAATCTGGCGTAAATACTCAATAAATGGTAACATAGCTCCCTACTCTAGCTTCCCAACTACTTCCAAACTCTCATCGCTGCCAAACTAAAAATCCACCACCCTGCTAGGAAGTCTTGTGACTATCTCTTATACACACACACACACACACACACACACACACACTCCCAGTTTCTGGGGTGTGTAAGGCCCATGTGCATGTTATTTCCAGCTACACTACAACTGCAGTCAGGCCACAGAAAATCTGATTGTACTGGTCACTGGCAATTGTTCCCTGCCTTCAGTCTACTTCTTACTGAGGTCAAATGTGGTCCTTTGTGCTTCCTTATCACTCATCCCTACCCTGAGTCAACTCATTGTTTTATATTCGTGGTTACCTGCTTGTTCCCCTCATAGACTGTGAGACTAAAGCAGAGGTTTACTGTTTATGTCACCAGCTCTCAGCACAAGGTCTAAAATTTTACATATTTGTTAAATAAATAGATAAATGCATAGTTTTTTAGAGTGTTTGTAGCTAGGCAGCCTTTACTATCCTCTCCAAACCCTCATCTAGAAGGCATATACCCAGGAACAGCAGAAAATTTTGTGACTGCTAGAGAAAAAGACACAGGACAATTCTCTGAATGTTTCCCAGTCTTAAAGCCAAGCTTTACATAATCTCTAATAAGCAAAGAACAGGACAGGTTTTTTTTTTCCCATTTTCTTTTAATAACATTTTTTCAAAGCCAGGAAACAACTACAGAGACTATTTCAAAGTGGACAAGTTAAAAACAAATGAGAAACAGCAAAGACATGGCCATCATTTCACAAGAAATACAGAACACTGTTTCATATCTGTCACCAACACCACATGAGAGGCCCAGCTAGCTCTCCATGGGGTCAAGAGTACTCTTCATTATTGTGCAGGAGAACTAGACAACACTTGGGTAGGATTAGGTCAAATGCTGTGAACACAGGAAGTGGTGAGATCAAGGTCTATAGTTTGGGCCCTTGTTTTGGGTACAGTTTGATGATTCTTAACTTCTTCCACACTGTGTTGGATCCCATAGCCAAAGTAGATAGCAAATCCTAGTAGGGATAGACAAATGTAAGGTGGGTTTTCCAACTGGAGATCAAGAGGGAGAGGAGTCAGGATAGGTCACCTAAGAGGCACTCTTCAAAGCAGACACCTACCAATCAGCATCCAGATCCCAAATCGAGCCCAAGTGCCAGCTGTCATTTGCATCATCAGGTAAACATTCACAAAGATGCTCACCAATGGGAGTAGAGGAACAACAGGCACCTGCAATCCAAGAAAACTCTTCACATGCAACACAATGGCCTACTGGGTGGGGGGGCACAGTAGGTCAAGTTCAAACCCTACTCATGCTCTGGATTTTGGCAGTCATTCATGGATCACATATATTATTAGATTCTTCAAATCCAGAATGTAAGAGAACATCAGCAAGGAGTCTGGCCTAACCAGCTCTGACATTACCCTCTTATGATCAGTTGAAGAACATAAGTTACAAGCCCTAATTGTCCCAAGATGAATTGGTGAGGAAAAAAGAAACATCATTTACCTTAAAGTGAAGGGGAGTGCGGTTCTGTGGCTGTCTCCAGATGACCCCAGAAATTCCAAGAATGAGCCCCAGGATCAGCACAACCACTGTGACCCACACTGGGTCTCCAGAACGAAGTGGAGTTGTCCACCAGGTCAGCACCAGGCAAAGAACAGTTAGTAGTACAGCTTCAAAAGTCAAGTTGAGAGGCATCAAAACCAACTCTTGAAATCAATATGCTAAGATGTAAGGCATCCCGCTCCAAGGAGGGGGTACCCTCTTGCTAGCCATCACCAAATGCCACCACACAATGTCTCCCCTACTGTACTGATCTTACCAAATCATCCCAAAGAAAAAAAAGCCATGCTTGGAACTGGAGAGATGGCTCAGCAGTTAAGAACACTTGCTGCTCTTGCAGAAGACCTGGGTTTTGTTCCCAACACTCATATAACTTATAACCATCTATAACTCCAGTTCCAAAGGATCAGAAGCCTTTTTCTGACCTATGTAGTTACCAGGCATGCACACAGTGCACATACATTCATGCAGGCAAAATATTCACACACCTAAAAAATCAATAAATCCTAAAACAAAAAAAAAAAAGAAAGAAAAGAAAAAAATCCACTGCTCACCAAGCAGTGAGGAACAAACATAGACAATTCGGCCAGAAAGAAGTGTTGGGATGGAGTTGACAGGACAAAATAGAGCCTGGACAGTCAGCTTCTCTGCTTCAAGTGTCTCCTCCTCTTGCAATTCCACTTCCTCTTCACCATCCTTCATTTCCTGGTCAGGCTGATATCTGTGGCAAGAGTAAAGAAACAATTTTAAGAATAACTCAGGTAGCTTCTTTATCACTGTTAAAGGTAGAAGCTTGGGCTGGAGAGATGGCTTATCCTATAAAGCATCTGCTAGTGGGCTACAGAGACAGCCTGGCAGGTAAAAGTTGTTACTTCTCTTGAAGAGGACCTGCATTCAGTTCCTAGCACCTACATTGAGCAGCTCACAGCCACCCATAACTAGCTCTGGCAGATTCAATGTCATCTTCTGACTTACCCATAGACAGACAGACAGACACACACATACCACATACACACACACACAAACACACACAGAGGGGGGGGACAGTTAATATTCAAATGTTTGCCACACAAACATGACAGAACTTGAGTTCAGATCTCGAACATTCATATAAAACCCAGGTGTCCTGTAACCCCCAGTGCTAGTGAGTTGGAGCTAGGTAGGAGTCTTAGAATTCACTAGCCAGTCAACCTAGACAATCAGTGAGTTCCAGATTCAGTGAGAGACTCCATCTCAAAAAGTAGAAACGGACGTAGGCAGATACCTAACTCTGCCCTCTGGCCTACACACACACATGTACATGCAACCACATGGATATGCAAATCACACATGAGATGGGGGTGGCTCTTTTGGACAGAGCAAGATGGCCAAATTACTCAAGGAGAATCAGGATGACAGACGGCAGAGGAGTGGGCATAACATCCTGCCTCACCCAGACATACAGACATAAGTCTTACCTGAGGATAAGAACACAAATGGACACCAAGGAGTAAGCAAGCAGAGTCCCAATTGACATGAGGTCCACGAGATCAGTGAGTTCAAAGAGGAACGCCATGAACGCTAAAATCGGCAGGCAGAAGCAAGTGAGTGAAGGGTGAAGTTAACAGAGTTGGGGAAACAACTAAAAGGGGTGGTTTGGTTTGGCTTTGTTACCTGCAATAACACCAGATACCATGGTGGCCACAATGGGTGTATGTGTGCCATTGTGGACCCTAGCAAGGACACGGAACAGGAGGCCATCTTCTGCCATTGAATAGATCACCCGAGGCATAGGAAACATAGAGCCCAAAAGGCTGAAAAAGACAATGTCCAAGGGGAATGAGTTTACCAAGGTATCTGTTCCAAGCATATGTGTTTATAGCATTTCCACCTCCCCTTCCCAACCCTTCTAAGGAACATTCTCTGGCACAAAATGGACATAGCTAGAAACTACAGCCATGGAACAAACAAATATTTAACACTGACCTAGTAGAAAGTGCACAGAGGGAGCCAATAGCCACCAAGTAGCGGGCAGGCTCCCAGCCAACATAAGAAAATGCTTCAGGCAGAGGGCTGTCAGGCTGAAGCTTGTAGTAAGGCATCATCAGGGTAAGTGATGAAGACACACCAAAATAAGCCAAAAAGCAGATGGACAGTGAGATCACAATACCCATGGGGATGGATCGCTGGGGATTCCGAGCCTCTTCCCCTGCAAGAAAACACAGGGCATAATGTTCTAAACCAGGGGAATAGGCTTGCTCCTCTGCCACCCCCAATCTGTAAGATCACACGTTACACCCAAGGCCAGCCAGGATCATGTGACTGTTACCAGTGGTTGCAATACAGTCAAAACCAACGAAGGCATAGAAACAGGTAGCAGCGCCACGGAGAATCCCTTCCAAGCCAAAAGGCATGAAACCTCCAGATCCCATAGAGTCCAAGCTAGAGGACGAGAAGGAAGAGAACCCATAAGAGTTTGTTCAGCTAAGTGCATCCCTCTTCTCTGATGCCTGGCTGCTTCTTGTCTCCCACTCCCATTCTGGATTCCCCCTCCTCCCCCATTATGGTCCGAGTTCTGTGGTTCTCTAACCTACAAGTGCCATTGGATTCACTCATGGTCAAGCAATAGTCCTCTTTCGTGAGCTTCCAGTTTCTCAGTTCTCCCTTAATGAAGCCAGAGATGATGACAAAGCCGAGAACCAATAGGTTCATCCCTGTGAACACTTTGGTAACCAGGGCTGATTCACTCGCCCCCAAAACCAGCAATCCTGTGGGAGAAATTTGTTCAGGGTCCTGAGGACAAAATCCTTCCTCCAAGCTTGCTTTCCCTTTTCCAGGCCTCTGTGTGGCAGACTCTTTCCTTCCCAGCTTCCTTTCCTCCCATCATTACCCTTAAGCACTTCCCAAGCCCAACCCATCATTCAACCCTGCCCTTTGCCTCACCAGTGAGCAGCAACACAAGGGCCAAGGCAAAGAAATCTGGATATTCTGCAAGAACGTGAGGCATATTCAGTAAGACGGTCCCCTTCAGAGTCCGAGAGATGTGGTTTCCAATCAGGTTGTCAAAAGCAGAGCTCCAAGCCCGTGCCACACTGGCTGTACCTGGTATAGCAATTGTATTTTCTACTGTAAACCCAATACTCAGGAATATTATAAGGTCAAATTCCCTCCCCTCCCTCCTACATACTAGCTTCACAGATTCAGGCCATAGTTGTTACCCACCTTTCTTTCTCTCTCTCTCTCTCTCTCTCTCTCTCTCTCTCTCTCTCTCTCTCTCTCTCTTTCTCTCTGTGTGTGTGTGTGTGTGTGTGTGTGTGTGTGTGTGTGTGTGTGACAGTTCTATGCAGCTCAGGTTTAGCCTGGCTTCAAACTCAACAAACTCTTGATCCTCCTACCTCAGCCTCTAAGTGCTAGAATTACAGGTGTACAACTCTAGACCCAGCTCCTGTTATTAATTTTAAAAACCCTAACCAGTTATCTCTATGAACACCAGACAGAGGTGGGCACCTTCAAACCCTCCATACACCCAAACAAAAGTATAAACATCTAGAAGTATTGAGATACTAGTCAAAGAAATTCACCAAAATTCCACTCAGATTTCTGGATCTATAATCCCTTTGCTATTTGTGTAGTCATCTGTCCCTCCCATCCCACCCCAAGCATCTATCTCACCAATGACGTAGGAGAGAATGAGATTCCAGCCGGTGGTGAAGGCCCAGAGTTCACCTACGGTGACATAACTGTAGAGATATGCAGAACCAGAGCCGGGAACCCGGGCACCAAACTCAGCATAACACAATCCAGCCAACACAGAGGACAGAGCAGCCACAAGAAAGCAGATCACAATGGATGGTCCTGCTTTATCTTTGGCCACCTCACCAGCCAAGACATACACACCTGCACCTAATGTGCTGCCCACACCCAGGGCCACTAAGTCTAGGGTGCTCAGGCATCTGGCAAGGCGGGTCTCACCCATACCCAGCTCCAACACACGTCTCCGCACCAGCTTTTGACCAAACCTTCGAAGCGCCTGCCACAGCATTCTAGTTGGAATTGAAGAGGATGCTAGGTTCTGGTGAAAAACAAGACAAAAGCCCTTCAATGGGTCTCATTGTCCCCTAAGCTCTAAAAGTGAATTACAAAACCCACTCCACTAAGTAAATGAGTTACAGAGACAAAGGGGGTGGGGTGGGCTGAGGAAGGGAGAAAGCAAGCCACTTCACCTCTAATTACCATTTCTTCATATGCAAGTAGGAATTACAATAATAATGCAAGCAGGGATTACAGTATCTCTGAGGCAGGAGGAAGGACCCATTTCAGAAAAGGCTAATGAAAGCCGAATATAGCACAATGGTAAGTGCTTGGAGATTAGGTTTCTTCTTTTCCTGCCCAAGAATGATGGGATTTACCCTAGAGCCCAGCCCAGCAGCCCTAAAACCTAACATTTCTGTTTCCCAGCCGGTGGCTCCTAGCGAATCAAGCGGAAACTCAACTCGGGGCAACTCTGAAAGAACCCTTTTTTACACCCATTACCAACATCCCTTTCAGTGAGCACCCAGAGAGCTTCAGAGATACATGGCTCTCCACCGCCTGGAAGAGGGTACTGACCTCAATCTTATCCCTCTTTTCCAAGCCCACAGCGATCCACCTGAGTCTTTGCCCTCGGGAGAAGGCAAAGGTTCCCCCACCTCCTCGGTCCGCTAGGCTAAGCTGACCTGTGAGCACCAGCGATGAGGCGGGGCTTTGGTATCTGAAATTGGGAGATGCGCCTGGGGGATGGGGGGCAAAACCAGCCCGAGATCGATCGCACTTCTCTCTCCGCAGATTAGGGGTCCCGCCCGGTGGCCCTAGACTTAGCATCTAGATATTTATGGCTCCATGAAGAAACAATCTGGGGCTGCACTGGAGGTAGGGAGCCCTGGCTCCTGGACTAGGGTCTTACCAGCAACAGGTCACAGTTGCGCTGATGCAACTGCATGCCCTGATTGCCTGAAAAGCCTAGGTATACGAGGAGCCTCCCCCTCCCCATTCTGACACACGTGCCAGCCCCAAAGGCTTACCAGAGAGCGGTGGCAAGCCCAGAGGGCGAAGATTCTCAGATCCGGTTCAGTGAGGCTGACTTCAGTCGAGTTGGGTTGGGTCTGCAGACTTAAGCTGCTCAGGTTTCAACGCCGCATCTCAGGGTCCTTGCAAGCCAAGCGCCCCTTATATTCACCGGGAGGAGGAGCCAGTAACGTCATGGGATCCCAGCCCCAAGCCCTCTCCCTACAAATGACACACAACACAATATACATACCAACGCACGCGCTTGTACACACACACACACAAACACACACACACACACACACGCATGCACGCACGCACGCACAGAGTCACTTGGCTTTGCAACATTGGTTGCTTTTGGCCTGAGACTGCTTCCCAACCAAAAAGAACAAGCAGGGCATGGCCGGGAGCAAGAAAGGAGGAAGGATAGCCTTTAACTATTTGCCTCTCTGGTGGTCAAAGACAATAAAAAGCTTCCTGATCACAGATCCCACGGGAGTTTACTACCTTTATGCGAGATTAGTCAGAAGCAGCGATCGTAAGCAGCACTGGGGAGGGGAGTGAATAAAGAGAATTGGGATTGTGTGAAGGATGGAGGGGCAAATAGCACCAAGTCTCCATCTCATCGTGTCTTCTCCCTGAGCATGCTTGCCTGCATGAAATCCTTCAGGACAGTGCAAGACTATCAACAGCCCCCCCACACACACACACTGCTGCCTCTGCACTCACCCGCACCTGTTTCTAATACAGACAGCAAGAAGAATGGAAGACAGTTTCAAACCACCTGTACACAGATCATTAACCCCATGTAGAATCCTAGGCCACAATGTATTTGTAGCATCTCTGTGCCTGCCTATTAATATTAACTATGAAATTATGAATATTTAAATATTGAGGGAGAGAAACGTTTTAAAATTTATAGTGATGGCGATCAATCCTGTAGGTCTCCCAGAACCAAGACTATACCAACGAGCTGCAGCCCCACCCTTTAATTTAATTTTACTGATGACTAAGCTGAAGTTTGGAGTGTCAGACTTACCATTGAGTCACCATTCTGATAAAACCTGGCCTGTTGCTTTAAGGTCTGGCCTCCCATAGGTATCAAACTTCATTCAAATGCCCAGGAAAGAGGAAGTGTGAAGCTCATGCAAGAGGTAGGTCCTTTATAGGCTAGGAGTTACTAGGAAACAGCAGAAGATTATAGAAACTTAAGATGTTCCTTGTGTCTCTATCAGTGCTTACAGTGGCCGGAAGGGCAGGAAGAGTTGGAAAGGTGTAGTTCTCTTCCGCTAACCGGTTTTATCAGCTAAGGATAGCTCAAAACACATTGTTTCCTCTAATGATCCACTATGAATATGTTATCATCAGTCATCTAGCATCCAAATGCTTCTTGAGAGTCTCCTCTGTAGCCCGACCTTGCCTGAAATTCACTATGTACCTCAGGCTAGCCTTAAACTAATTATATTCCCGCCGGGCGGTGGTGGCACACACCTTTAATCCCAGCACTTGGGAGGCAGAAACAGGTAGATTTCTGAGTTCGAGGCCAGCCTGGTCTACAGAGTGAGTTCCAGGACAGCCAGGGCTATACAGAGAAACTCTGTCTTGTAACCTCCCCCTCAAAAAAAATTATATTCCTGCAAGCTTCAACCTCCCAAAACACTGGGGTTACAAGCCTGCACCACCAATCCCAGATACGAATTCTTTTTTGAATGAATTGATATTTTCAGCTAGGTAAAGCACCTTGAGACATTCAGTAAAGCAGGCCTCAGAAATGGCTCAGTGATAGAGCACTTGCCTAGCTAATATGTGAGGCTTCTGTTTCCCACCACCCCATACCCCACCCTATCTCCACACCACAAAGACTATGCACTTGTTGAAAAGCTGCTCTAACAACTAAGTCTACAAAAGAAACACAAAGTAAAATCCTTGGGCTAGAGATCTAGCTTAGTGGTTGAGTGCTTTCCTAGTATGGTGAAGAACCTGAGTTCAGTCCCTCAGAGGTGGGGGTAGGGGCAAACACATTTGCTCCTGGTCTTAATGGTCTAATTTGGGAAAGAAAACCTCCACAGTACAATTGGAACAGTATTTAGAGAAATCAAGAGTGCAGTATATGAAATTACAACTAAGTCAAATTCCCAGCTCAGCCAGCCACTGTGGCCTTGAATAAATTACCTATCATTTCTAGATATAATAAGTGCATTTCAAAGGGTTGTTGGGCTTCTTAAGTAGCATTATGAAGTCAAGTCTTCCTATGTGGCACAGTAGGATATTCAATGAAAATTTGATGCAGATTCAAAGTAATATATTAGTATATATAACAACAGTTCAGCCGCTTAAACTCAGTGATTGATTAGGTCATGAGATTAATTGGCAAACTGATAGACAAGCAGTACAGACTGGGATGACTAAGGAAGGCTTCATTTGCAAGGCATTTGGGAGAAAGAAATGCAAGGGCTAAAGCAGAGCCTTGAGGAATGAGGGGTAGCTGAGCTGTGGACATACACAGATGCATGAGGCCAGGGGAGAGGAAAAATCTAGCAAATGCAATGAATTGGAAGTGTAGAGTGAAAAATTATAGATACTGGGTATATAGAATCCTTTTTAGACATAAAATATTCTTTAGGCTTTCTTTACAAAGACATGGAGGCATGAAGCAAGTTAAGAATGTGGACAGACTAATTACGGGAACTGGCTAGAATGCAATTTAGCCAGGTGGAACCAAGCTGAGAACCATAGTGACAGGACAAGGCCGAAGTAACAGAGCAGGACCACATTCTTGAGAAAGATAAGCGTACAGAGAGTTTTCACCTGACCCTGACTCCCATAGGTTGGGTTCCTTTGGAATGTTCCACTATTTTCATGTTACACCACCCTAGCAACCTCTCACCCCCTCCCCATTCCTTGGTTTGTGGTTTTTCCCTTTAAAAACCCCTTTCAAACTGGCTGTCGGGGGTCAATTCAGCTCCTGCGTGGCCATACCAATTGACCGGCAGCTAGTTGTCATGCCCTAATAAACAACCTCGCAATTGCTCCGGTACATGGTGTCTCGAGCAGATTACTGGGTGGTCACAACTTTCTGAGACTTGAGAGAGGGTCTCCCCTCTGCGGAGGTCTTCATTGGGGGCTCGTCCTGGGATTTGCGACCACCCTGATCTCTGAGACCCCCACTGGGAGGTAAGGGCACCGCGGTTTTGTTTGTGCGTTTTGTGTGTCGATCCGTCTCGTTTGGAATTCTGCAAAGTGCACTTCTGTGGTTTGGCTTGGCAGCTGTTTCTGTCCCGTAAGAGACAGCAAACCTTTTGTCTCGGCAGGAGGCGAATGGGTGACCAGCAGACGTGCTAGGATGGTTACCACTGCCACAACCCGGGAGACGTCCCGGGAGAGGAAGGGACCCCAGGGACGCCTGGTGGGTGCCCATCTGGAGGCCGGGGAGGACATGGTGGTCCTCTTGCTGGAGGAGGTGTGAGAGACCCCCTGGCCATCTGTTTTTCTGTATTGGTGTTGGCTTTCTCGGTTGAGATGGTTAGTCTCTTTGTGTAGTTGTTTTGTCTGTGTTTTGTGTTACTCGTGATGTGATAGGGACAATGGACTGTGTGCTTGTGCTTATGAGGTGTCTGTGCCCATGGCGTGGGGCAACTGTCTGTGTACTGTGTTTGTGAAGTTTCTGTGCACCCTTGGCAGGGGTGACCGTCTATGTAGTCTGGTTTCTGTGCTCGTGGCAGGAGCAGGAACCAGGCAAGCCACGGAGGGCAGTTTGTGACCCTGGGAGAGGGTCAGGTTATGAATTCCAGGAGAGAATTCATGGAAAGTGGAAGCAGTGGGACAGATGTGTCGGCACACTGCAGGCCACAGTTCTCTAGAGGATTCTCTGGAGTTCGTTTGTATGGGAGATAGGGTCAGAAATGACCCCTTCTCTGTCTGAAGGTGGTCTTTGGCCACCGCCGCCTGGGGTGGCATCCGTTGAAGCTCTCGTGGCTGTGTGTCTGGGTCTAATTCTGTGTTATTCATTGCTGGTGATGTAATAAATCTGTTAAATTAGGTCCAGCATGGACTAGCCATGTCATCTGGTTATTAGGTTCTCTCACCGGCAGTCTTTCATGCCTTGATTGTGTAACCTGTCTCTGCACCTGTGACAGGAGCAAGAACTGTCTGTATGTGATATATCCACCACCTGTGATGGGGGTGAACTGACTGTGTTTTTTTTTCTGTTTTCTTGATGAACTGTTTGCGTGTTTTTGGACTGTGACTGACGTTATTTTAGACTGAATCTACTGTGTTGAATATCCTGAGTTAACAAGAGTTAACATGAGTTAACATGGCCATTGGCAGAGAAATAGCTAAAACAATTGTCTGATCTCCGCGGTGTGTTAGCAAAAGAAAGAGAACTCTCTGGCCCCTACAGGAGAGATTCTTGGTTATGCTTTCTATGTCTATTGTGAGTCCTTGGCGCCAAATTTGTCCACGTGTCCACGTTGTCTGTCTTTGTTTTATTAGAATAAATGTCTGTTCTATGTTTCATGTATAGAAAGAAAGATAAAAAAGGTTAAAACTTATAGGCAAGTCCCCCTGCTCTGTGGATGAAATTGAGACACAGCTGGAGGAGCCCTGGCAAAAATGATTCTTTGCACAAGCTGCTCTTGGGGAGGCTAAGAACTTTTTGGCTTTCTTGGTAAAGAAACTGATTTTTTTTCTTCCCCCAAGATTGAAAAGGAGATTTCAGTGTAAGTTTTATCTGGGATCAGATAAGGTCTTGATGAACTACTTTAGGAATTTATAGATAGGCCTAAATTAAGAACTTTCACATTTGAGTTAAGACAAAGCTCAGAGTGGGCTCAGCAGAAACTGGTGTGACATTCCTGTTGTCATGGTCACTCTGACTAGCCCCTGGAAAGGTGTTTTCTGGAATTTGTTTTATTGCCTCGCTTCTTCCTTGGGGAAGACAGGTCAGCCTCAGACCAAAGGACATTTACAAGAGACAGTTTATGGTCCAGAAGCTATATAATGATTATGCTGTAGAAATTAGAATTACAGCTTGACTTGCCTACTCCAGCTGCCATTCCAAGAAATACATATAAAATTATTATAGATTTAGAAGAGTGTTTTTATACTGTTCCTTTAAGATGAGAGGTTTACATGCAGTGAGTATGCTTGTAATTTTTTGGGAGTCCTT